CCCAGAGGAGTTCCAGTGAGGATCCAGTGATGATGGTGTACCAGAAACCGGAGGCCTTGAACCAGACCAAGGACTCATTGCAATGAACACTTGCAAGTAAAGCTGATTGGACTAAAGAGTACACTGTGTGGCACACCGCTCCAATGCCACAGGACAAATGAAGAGGTATCAGACAGACGGGAAAGATGGAGCATTGAAGAGATTTTTTATTTTTGCTTTTGTTTGTTTGTTTGCTTGCTTTGTTTTGTTTTTTTAATTTCTTGGGGGGGCTGCTGAAGGGCTTAGGGAGAGGATAAGGGGGAACTGGGAGGTGAGTGGAATTAGGGTGCATGATGTGACATTCCCAAAGAACAACAAGGAAATTATATTTAAAAAAAGAAGAAGAACAATGCCAGGGACCTCGCCTTAGGAGGCCCCACATCCCAGGGCTTCCACCACCCCTAGCAAGCAGTGCCATGAGCTTGGGGAACCGAACCCTCCCCTTTGGGGAGACATTCAGATGCAAGCTTTAGGGGTGCTGTGTGGTACCCTCTTGTAATCCCAGAGATCAGTGAGAGACTGAGGACCATTGCCATGAGTTTGAGGCCAGGCTGGGCTACATAGCCAGACTTTGTATCAAAAATAATTTACAAACTATAACACCTTCCATAGGTGAATAGAAACAGCTGGATTTAGTGGCTCATGCTGTTAATCCCAGCACTGGAGAGGTAGAGACAGGTGGAACTCTGAGTCTGAGGCCAGCCTGGTCTACACAGAAAGTTCCAAGATAGCCAGCACTACGTAGAGAGACTCTGTTTCAATAAATAAATAAATAAATAAATAAATAAATAAATAAATAAATAAATAAATAAGTGTGCTGACGAATTTCTAAACAGTTTTATTAAATAAGAAACACAGACCCAATTATAGAGCTAAAGCCAAAGAGATCAGAGCAAGAGCCACCTAACTCTAGCTCACCACCAACGGTAGCTTCCCCAGATGGTGCTGGCATAACTGGATGTCAACATGTAAAAGATTACAAATAGATCCATATCTGTCACCATGCACAAAACTCAAGTCCAAGTGGATCAAAACCCTCAACATAAACCCAGTTACTCTGAACTTGATAGAAGAGAAAGTAGGAAGTATTCTTGAACGCATTGGCACAGGAGACCACTTCCTAAATATAACACCAGCAGCACAGACACTGAGAGCAACAATTAATAAATGGGACCTCCTGAAACTGAGAAGCTTTTGTAGGGCAAAAGACACGGTCAATAAGACAAAAAGACAGCCTACAGAAAGGGAAAAGACCTTCACCAACCCCACATCTGACAGAGGACTGATCTCCAGAGTATATAAAGAACTCAAGAAACTAGACATCAAAATACTGAACAATCCAATTAAAAAATGGGCTAAAGAGCTAAACAGAGGATTCTCAAATGGCTGAAAGACATTTAAAGAAATGCTCAACATCCTTAGTCATCAGAGAAATGCAAATCAAAATGACTCTGAGATACCACCTTACACTTATCAGAATGGCTATGATCAAAAACACCAATGACAGTCAATGTTGGAGAGGATGTGGAGCAAAGGGAACACTCCTCCACTGTTGGTGGGAGTGCAAACTTGTACAACCACTGTGGAAATCAGTATGGCGGTTTCTCAGAAAATTGGGAATCAATCTATCTCAAGACCCAGCTATACCACTCTTGGACATATACCCAAGGAATGCTTAATCATACCACAAAGATACATGCTCAGCTATGTTCATAGCAGCACTACTTGTAATAGCCAGAACCTGGAAACAACCTAGATGCCCGTCAACTGAAGAATGGATTAAGAAAATACGGTACATATACACAATGGATTACTACTCAGCAGAGAAAAACAATGACAGCATGAAATTTGCAGGCAAATGGATGGAACTAGAAAATATCATCCTGAGTGAGGTAACCCAAACCCAGAAGGACAAACATGGTATGTACTCACTCATAAGTGGATACTAGATATAAAGCAAAGGACAACCAGACTGCAACCCACAGATCCAGGGAGGCTACATAGCAGGGGGGACCCTAGGATGACTGTGGCTTATAATAAGTTTTGGTTTTACTCAATCACTGGGCAAGCCTCAGTGAAACATTTCACTATTAGGATAAGAACTTGTATTGTATCAAGCTGAAAATAGAAAAAATAAGTAAGTAAGTAAGTAAATAAATAAACAAAGAGCCACCTAGCTTTAGATAACCACCAGCAGTAGCCACCATCGCCTGGCTCGGCATACATAAATCTTAAGTGCATGGTGCTAAGTAAAAGAAATGCCTGGAAAAGCTACAGCGTGGATGATTCCGATTGTACAGCATGCTAGAAAAGGGAAATTATCCTTAGACTAGCAGGTAACTAGCTGTCATAGGATTGATAAAGGGTCTGGGGGTGGGGCAGGGTTAAGTCTAGGTAGTGTTTTAAGGAGCGTGAAACTGTTTCATATGATTCTATCAGGGTCGTTAGAAGTCACTGAATATTTGTCAATGAGCAGACTTTAATGTGCATAAATTTTAAAAGTTCATCTGGGGCCATGGTGGTGCAAGTCTTTAATCCCAGCACTCTGGAGGCAGAGGCAGATGGACATCTGAGTGCAAGGCCAGCCTGGTCTACAGAGTGAGTTCCAGAACAGCCATGGCTATACAGAGAAACCCTGTCTCAACACCCCTCAACCCCCGCAAAAAAAAAAAAAAAAGTTCATGTTCATGTAGGAAGTCAGACGGAGCATGGAAAGCAAGTGGAGAATCTGGTTGTTTCACAGATAGAGAAGGAGTGCCACTTTGGGAGTGGACCACCACTGACCTGGAAGGCCAAAGGCCACAGAACACCCGAGCCCTGGGAGCCAGGCAGTGACGTGTTCCCAGGGAAGCACACATTAACGACTGGGAAACCCAGGCTCACACACAGCACCCCGCTGCCCCCAGTGTAGGCCTACCTTTGGCTCCCCTCTTGGCCCTGACCCACTCCAACCAGGATCTTTTGGGACATCTGTACTAGAGGCCTTTTTGTGCGTGTGTGTCGGGGGGCACACATGACCTCTGGGGGATCCATGAGCACTTTCAGCGTCAGCAAACACACAGTGACTAAGATCTTCTTTGGTGGCCTTCACCATCCACCCACAGAGGCTTGGGAGGGGCCTGGGGGGGCAGTGGGCGATGGACGCTGCCTGCTTTCCCCTTGATTGTGGTGGTTGCCACCCCCAGCTCCTGCAGAGACATCTTCTCATGGGTGATGCCACCTGTGCCAGCTCCGGAAAAAGCCACGGGACTGGCGCTGTAGGCTTGGCAGGAGGGATCACTTAATTGAGGATTAAGGATTAATTGGGATCTGCAAGATGGGTGGGTGCTGCTGAGGCTGCTGAAGCCAGCCCTGGCACCTCAGAGTCCAGATCCCAGGCTGCTGCTCAGGGCACTGGGCCTGCCAGCATGCTCCGCCTGAGACCACCTTGTGAGGACCAGTGTGCCCCCAACTCCTAGCCATTTTAGTTTATTTACTGTGTGTGTGAGTCAGAGGTTGGCAATGATGCCTTCCCCAACCACTCTCCTCCTTCTCCTTATTATTATCATCAGAGACTCTCTATGTAGTCCTGCCTTAGAACTCCCTATGTAGACCAGGCTGGCCTCAAACTCACAGATTTCCTGCCTCAGCCTCCCAAGTGCTGGGATTAAAGGCGTGCACCACCGGCTCCTTATTTTTTGAGGCAGGGTCTTTCACTGAACCTGGAGCCCCCTGTTTTGGCTAGACTGGCTGGGATTAATGGCGTGCACCACCACACCAACTGCCCTTCCTTCCCCTTTTTGAGACAGGGTCTTACTATATAGCTGAGGCTAGCCTCAGACTCTTGATCTTCCTGCCTCAGCCTTCTGAGTGCTGGTTACAGTGTGTGTCACTGCCTCCTGCCTCTGCCTAAGTCTTGATCTTGGGCTTCTCAGCTTCTAGACCTGAGAGTGTTAAATTAAAATATCTCTACAAGCTGGGTGGTGGTGGCACACACCTTTAATCCCAGCACTCGGGTGGCAGAGGCAAGCAGACCTCTGTGAGTTCGAGGCCAGTCTGGTCTACAAAGTGAGTTCCAGAAGAGCCAGAGCTACTCAGAGAAACCCTGTCTCAGGAAAAAGACAAAAATGGCATTGGATGGAGACCCACAGCTTCCCAGCATCCAAGGGCTAGAACAAGACCTTTGTGTGAAGGCTCTTTGTGCAGAGATGTGAGTCTCTAGTAGCATGAAGATTTAGGTTACACTGACCTAAAAGGCCCCCCAACACAGACTGTCCATTAGATGGGCCTTGAATTGGGCAGGGCTGGCCAGGCTATTCCCTTCCCACTGTGCTCGGGAAGTGTTGGGGGTTCCCGGAGGAAGGAAGTCCCAGCTTTCAGACGGAGGCGCAGCCTGGGGGGTTCATCTGTCTGCTACCTCCCTCCTGGACGGTGAAGGCTGAGCTCTGAGCAGCGCCCCTCTCAGCCTGTGGCAGTAAAACACATGTGACAGAGCTGGGAGAAGGTCTCTGTCCTGGGAACTTCAAGCACAGAACTCAGAAGCACTGATGTGTGCATGTACATATGTCTGTGTGCGCACATGCATGTGTATGCACGTGTTTGTGTGTGTGTTTACCAGCCCAAAGATGTCTGGGTTTTTGTTTTGTTTTGTTTGTTTTTAAGACAAGTTCTCCCTAGGTAGTCCTGGCTGGCCAGAAACTCACTTTGTAGACCAGGCTGGCCTCGAACTCATAGAGATCCATCTGCTTTTCTCCTGAGAGCTGGGATTAAGGGTGCGTGCCAGCATGCCTAGCTCAGAGATACCTTTTGGCACTTGCTTTGGGCTGAGCCCAGGATCCAGAAAGGAAGAAGAGGGGATCTCCATACCTCCTGGAGTTCACAATTGAGGTGACTTGTGGTTAGAAAGTCCAGCTCCAGGAGTTGAGTTTTGGGGTCACATGCCAGGCCTCCAGGATGGACAAGTAGGGGGAAACTCTTTCTCCACAAGCTGGAAGATGCTTTATTGTCAGAGAACCAGGGAGAGGTAAGGGGTGATGACAGGAGAGGGCACTGTGCCCAGGCAGGGATGGAGAGGAGACACACAGTCCTGTACATAATGAGTTTCAAGGAACACATGGGATCCTCTGCGCTTCAGAGGCTGTTTTCCTCCGGGCTGGTCCACTCCAGCTTCTATACAGGCTCATCGAGACATCATCCGAACAAATTCTGCCAGGACAAAGCCAAGGTTTTAGGTCTGCCCTCCTGACTCCACTGGGGATGGCAGATGTGCCTGCCCGAGGGTGGGCTAGAGTGTGCTTGAGGAGACCTTCAAAGACATCTGTGAATCAGGCAGGAGGGGCCTCAGCTGCCCAGATTACAATCTTGGCTCTCTCCATTTCCTGTTCCTAAGTGAGCACTTCAGCTTTCCTGAGAATTAACAGGAGTTTCTTCTCTCGACAGTAGGGAGTATAACAGCCTTGCCTCCTTGATCCTCCATGTTTAACCCGGGTCTGTTTAGATCAGTGGTTCTCAACCTTCCTGATGCTGTCTGTGATCCTTTCATACAGTTCCTCATGTTGTGGTGAGGAGCCATAAAATTATTTTCATTGATACTTCATAACTGCAATTCTGCTATTGTCATGAATCATAATGTTATCTGATCATCATAATATTTATCTGATATGCAACCCCGAAGGGGTCGTGACCCACAGGTAGAGAACTGATGGTTTAGAATCTTCCAGGGCACATACAGCTAAGCCGGGGAGGCGTTACCTTCAAAGTCAACCAAGCCGTCTCCATTGAGATCGATGTCTTGGAGGATCTCATCTACCTCCCTCTGGCTGAGGCGCTCCCCTAGCAGGGCCTTGAGGGCTGCTCGGAGCTCCCCCACGCTGATGCAGCCGTCTCTGTTGGTGTCAAACTGGGGCAGCATTGATGGGGGCATGGGGGGGTCACCGACTGAGCCTTACATCTACTCAGCCTCTCACCCCCCTGCAGCCCCACCGTCTCACCCACTCTCCACCCCTTCCGCCCCAGGTGCACCTCCCGGAAGGCGTCTCGAAGCTCCCTCACGCCAATCATATCTGCAGTCTCCGCCAGCAGTTTGGGGCCCATCAGCTCCACAAAATCTTCAAAATCCACCTTCCCACCACCTGAGGGTACATCCGCCCATTAAAGACCCGGGCCTAGCACCTGACCTGCCTTCCCCAGCCCACTGCCTTCCCTCTGGCCCCTGGCCCCCTCCTACATGGCATAGATGAGCTCTCATCCCTGGGTACCAATGGCTGCATCATCTTCAGCTATTGGTGGGACTTTGTCCTCCACCGGGCTCTTATGACTCACTGTTCTTTCCCAAGCCTCTTCCGTGTGACTCTAGATAAATACTTCACCTCTCTGAGCTTTAGTCTCTATTGGTGAACGGGGGTGGGGGTGGGGGGTTGGGAGTTGTGGGGGGTGTGGGGGGGTTGTGTCAGCCTCCCCACTCTCCTAGTCATTCTTAGGAGGCAGCTCTCCTTTTGATGACAGTTATGCCCTGGACTCTTGGAACAGCCCATGCAGCTACCTCGGGTCTGGGCCAGGGCTGGAGTAGGGGGGTGGGTGGGTCTGAAGTACATACTGATTTGTTGTGATATCTCGATGAGCTCCATCTCCGTGGGCATGTAGCCCAGCGTCCGCATGCAGGCACCCAGCTCCCGGTAGCCGATGTAGCCATCCTGGTCTCGGTCAAACTCCTGGAAGGCGACCTGCAGCTCTGCCGGGCAGAGGGAGGTTAGTCCTTTCCCCAAACCCTCCCTGGCTGCCATCTGGGACCAGCCCAGCTATTCCCTTTGTTCCAACCACTTCTTGCTTTTAAGCCTCAGTTCCTATTTGTTGTCTCAGGGCCATTGCACATATGGTCTTAAAATTTTGTTCTCTTGTGAAATGTTTAAGAAGCTATGTGTCAGTTTCTGCTCTAGGGGATTAAAAAGAGAAGGAAGAGAGGGAGGGAGGAAAGACAGAAAAGCTATGACCTCGGGGTGGCTACATTCTCCTCCTCTGGTTCAACGTCACCTACTCCAGGAAGATGTCCCTGCTCTTCCCTCCAGCGCATGCATTGGTTTCCTTGAGTGCTCTACACAGCTGCAGCGGCAGCCATCTCAGAAGGTGGGGACCTCATCTACCGGGTTCGCAGCGTTTCCTGGTTCTCAGTGAGGGACCAGGCCTACAGTGAGCAGCCAGGAAGTGTCAGCCAGATGGACAAAACCGAAAGCAGCCCTTGACCAGTGTGGTCGCTGAGCCCAAGGGGTTGGCAGCAGCAGAAGGGAGGGTTCGCCACCCCTCCCTACCCGCTCTCACCCCATGACCTTCTTACCCCTCCTGGACCCTGCAGAGGCCCCAGCCCCAAACCTCCCTCCTTGAACCCTTTACCTTCGATCTCCTCTGGTCTCAGCTCCCGGTCCTGCAGGGCACAGACGGCTTAGGGGTTCCTCGGCCCACCCGGGCCTCAGCACCTTCCTTCTGTTTCTTGGGGTTTGTCAGCCAGCCCATACCACAGCACACCCAGGGCCTGTACCATAGTCTGCCCAGTCCTGCTCACCTGCCTGAGTGTCTTGGGGTTCCCTTTCCCTGCAGCCTTCCAGGGGACCCCCAGGACCCCTGTTCCCACACTGTCTCCTGAGGTCCGTGCCTCCTTTTGACAGAGGTAGATCCCAGGGTCAGACAGACTCAACCCAGCTGGCCTCAGTGCCACTGCAAGTCTGCCTTGTCCCCTGTCCCTCTCCTGAGGAGCCGGCCACCTCTAGCCATCTTCCTCTTGGAAGTACTTCCTTTTCTATTTTTGCAGTGATGAGGGTATAACCCTGGCCTTGCTATAAGCAAGTGCTCTGCCACTGGGCTGCACCCCAACCCTTGGGTGGCTGTTTCTCTGGGTCCCTACCCACCCCCCATGCCTGGTATGGCTCTGGGGGCTCCCTGAACTCTTAACTTTTTCTGAAGTTACCGCTCGGCCCCCCCACCCCGGGGTTGCATGGCGTCCTCTCCAGCCTCTCCCTCCTGTTCGGGCAGCGATGAGGCTAAGGGACCAGAGCGGCAGGCTGGCAGAGGGGTGACTGTACATACGAGCTGGGTAGCGGCGATGCTGGGTCGGAGGAAGATGCAGGCTGGCCCCACCAGGCTGCCGAGCACCGAGTAGCCCTGTGTGCCCTCCTGCTCCTCAACTCTGGGGCCGGGGTTGGGGCTGGAGTCCCCTAGGGGGGCTCCAGGCCACTGCCAGCGCTCCTGTAGCAAAGCCAGCCATGAGCTGAAGCAATGTCCCCTCTCCCCCGACCCCTCTCCAGTTCTCAGGGGCTCCTTTCTCTGGAGCCCAGGGCCTGACAGAGGGGGCGGGGCCTCTGGCTACACAAGACCCGGTAACACCCTGGGCTGGAAGGGTTCGACTCTAAGAGGTGAGGGCCTTGGCCAGGTCCTTGTGGAAACCTGTGACCTGTGGCCTGTAGCTCTGGTCACCCTGGCCAAGGCTGAGAGAGCAGGGTCTGCACAGAACGGGCAGCTGGCCTATTAACTTAGCAGGGGAGACCTAGCCAAGGCTTGCGGGGGG